CTGTATATATATATAATATTATAAATATTATATAATAATATAATATAATATATATAATATTTACTTGAATATTATATATATAATATAATATATAATATTATATATTTAATATAATATATAATATTATATATTTAATATTTAATATTAAATATTATAATATTAAATAAATGTATAAATATATAAGTATGTAAGTATAAATATTGCGGACAATATTACCAAATTTATGAAAATTTAGTAAAAGAAAATATTGAGAACAACTCATTCGAAAACATTCATATTAACAATGAAAACGAAGTCGAACTTCCAAATATTTCATGCGATGATGAAAATGAAGTAGTGATAATGACATTCTTGATGATTACTTCATTCTTATCTTGTGCTTTTCATGGAGACCATTTATATTTTGCTTGTTACGTTCGCAGAGATTTTTGAGTCTAGATTAGATTTGAGTTAGGTCTCTATTATTTGTTATAAAAGGTTCGCTCGTTATATAAACTTCTCAGCAGCCTCTGATATGTGTTTATACGACCAGTATTGTTTATAGCAACAGTAATGTAGAAGTAGCTACAGAGTTTAGTGAAAAAAAAAATACCTCGGAAACTATAACAAAATTATATTTAAACTATAATTATAACAAAATTAAATTTGCAGGCGATAAAGTTGCTGAATATGTCAGGCTGTATAACGTATTCATCAAAATAAAAAAGGAGGACCATGTAGCATGTAATTATTCAATCTTATTTTATCAATTATAATCTTATTTTAGCGTGCCATATATTTTTATTTAAAAATCAGGATAATAAAATTGTGTACAGAAGCTAAATGAAATTTTGAAACAATTATGGTGACTGAAGATAATTGCACAAATCTTATTTTTGTCAGATTAGATCACAACGGAAAATTAGTAAATAACACAAATACTAATCGAACTAGTGTAATCGCACAATGTTCAATTATTATTACTTTAAAGTTTATGTTCGAAATTTCTAAATATCATCTTTAAAATAAAAAAATCGTTAATGCTGAATCAATAGCACTGTCAATCTCTAAAAACTGAACAAAACCTCGAATAGCACAATATGCGTGTTAGAAGCAATCTAGAATCGAGAATGTATTAGAATTAACATACGTATACGATTAGTACATAAACTTGCAGCAGCCTTTCGAACAGATGTGGTTTTGTGCACCTGCAATTACTCAATTGCTGCTGATTGGTTTACAGGAGGGGATCGATACGGCACTAAAGAGTGAAATACATAGAGCATTTCAATGACTCATGTCAAACGTTTGAATTCAATAGTACCATAAGTGGTCCAATAACGACCCACTTTGTATTTAATGACATCAGTACTTTTAATTACACGCAGTTAGATATACGCGGTTTATTTTACGCTCGAACGCATACTCTATTTTTCTGCGACCCGTTCAATTCGAATTGCTTCGAATAAATCATGTCAGAATTCAAAGATGTTCCTCCGGTACTCTGCTTTTTATAATAAATTTTTCTGTCGATCTAATATACACTCATACACGAAGGTATTCGAACACTTATACGTTTCTAACATTCAATTAATAAAATATATCTGTGTTAAACCGAAGCATTTGATAGAATATGACACATATAACAAGAGATGAGTCTTAAGACTGCGCAAGTAAAATTAGAAAATAATTCAACAATATATAGCGTTTTTACAGTACATTTATTGTAAACAGTACATTTATTCTCAAGTTGTACTATAAGTTATTAAATCATATAAAATTGAATATCAATATATGTTATTATAGTAAACGAAATAAATGCATTGGTGTCGAATATTATAGTCTTCTATGTCACAGCTATTATTAAAAAATGTATGGCAATTTAAACGAACACCTTCCTTGAATTAAAACTCGACGAATTACATTAGTGATTGAAATACTTCCGCTTGGACGTTATGCTAACAATTTCAGTAAATATTTATTGGCACCCCCTTTCGCGTAAAGTAAAGAATCTCTTCGGAATACTTCATTGAAACATTCTTTTCATCGAATCTTAATTATGTAGTATCCATGATATAGTGAAACAATAACAATCAGAAAATTAATCATATTATATGGCAAATACGCATCTTTAAAAGGAGAGATATATCAAGCTTATTTTTTGTTTTATATACTCTTACAAATTTTGTTGGAAAAATATATCATTTATTTTATTCTATTCGATAAGTAACTAAAGTCCACGTTTATGCTAAATTCTTGAACCGATGTAACAATAATCACTGCACTGAGAATTTTATGCAATTTACGTCAACTAATTTCAATTTAAAATAGACGAAGGATTGTCAGAGTTTCAAAATGTCAATGTATTACTCTTAATCCATTAAAATTATTAAGAAAAGAACAAAGAACTTATTATTTAGTTTTATTGCAATCGATGCATGAAGATCCATACAGTAACGATCGCAACTACATCAGAAATAAATCTTGCCATTAAGATATTTGTGTTTCATCAATAGCTTTCTCAGAAATCAATAATTCAATTAACAGAAACATAACCAACTGCTTAAGAACGACAGCGCCCAAGAAAAAGAGAGTGCGCGGAAGCCACCAGAATTAATGGTTGAAAGACACCGCCTCCTCGAACAATCCATTAAAACGAATACAATCCTCACCGACGCGCGCCACTTTGTCACCAACAAGATTAGCAAAATAGGTTCGTAAACATCGCCGTAGCGTCTCGCCAGAGGGGAGGGGCTCGGGGGCCGAACAAAGTCACTATTTCAAGCCCGATTGGACGTGTAATAAAGTCTAATGCAATTTCATATTCGCGAAGAATTACCCAGAAGCCATCAGTTCGTGAATCTAATCAACTGGTGTTACTCATCCTCCGTAGCCGTCGCGTCCGGGTGCCGAAGGGGTGCCGAAGGAGGGCCGGGGGACTTATCCAACTTCTGGCAAATCTCACCACAGCTCGGAACTTGCTATTCCGTGGCGTCCGTTAACCATATTCGCGGCGCAGAGTGTATTATTTCGATAATCTAGGGGGACTTTGTTCTCGATAACTATCTTTTTGGTTCCTTCGGTATGCATTTGTTTATAACTACTTGTAACGTCGATTTAGAATAACTTTTAACGTGACTTAGTAATTTTCATTAATATAGAGACCAATACGATGCAAAAAGTGATTCTTATTCAAGATCATTTTTTCGGAGCTCGTTGGATCGGTCGCCTCGCGCCAGCCGAGCTCGTCTCTCATTGGTCACTGTTTTTCGTTGATAACTCGTCAACGATGCATCGGAGAACATTTTTGTAAAGGAAGAAGTTGTTTCGAATGATCCGAGGAACCCGCCACTTTCGGATCGCGAGACATTTTTGGGACACCCTGTATATTATTTCCAGTGGAAAGAAGAAAAAAAAACATTTATATATATATATATATATATATATATATATATATATACCTGCGAAATTGTGCGATTTTAAGGTCGCACGGTAATTAGGGTAGCTACATTTACTAATATATAATCTACTAATGTATAATCTAAACGTGACTTGAAAACGAAAAGAATGAATTAGTGGAAGGAGAAAGTACACTGCACAAGAACGCAGAAAAAATGAAAAAACAAACAAATTCGAAGCAAAAAGAAGGAAATTGGAATAAAAGAAAGGTACGAATGAAGTAGAGTACGAAGAATGAAAGAAATAAGAAAAACATAAAAGAACAACGTGAACAAATTGTTTTAAAAATTAGTAAAATAAAATTGGTTTTACGTTATCATCGTATATCACTATATGTTACAACCAAGATCTTTAAATATCACGAAGTAAAATATAGAAAAGCGAGAATCTTTAAAAATGATACAAAACACGGTCAACATTGGTGCACAAATAGCCACAAACGGTGAAAAATGCGCATTTCACTATTCTTCTACTGAAATAATTTTGTCATAATTTTGTTACCCTATTACAAGTTAAACATCAACAGTATAGGTATTAAATAATAAATAATAGATATAAAATATAAAGTTGCACATTTCTTAAGCGGTGCTAGACTCTAAGACTATTTGCGTTGCAATTCATATAAATCCTCAACGTGGCAGCAACCGGTACACCTACCCTAACTTGAAACTTCTCTAAAAAAAAAAAACATTCAATTTCGAAATGAAATCCCCCTAGGTTGTCGAAATATCGCGCACTGCGCGTCGGAAAATACTGCGCTGGGAACGGAAATGGTAATGGCAGGAACAGAAGGTGGGGGGCAGGGGGGGTTGAGTGTTCCGACGAAAATTCAGATTCCCGATGATAATGCCCCCTTCTTTTTCCGGCAACGGTATTTGCCTTAAAAACCGGCTGAGCATGGAATATTTAAATTCCTGCCGTCGGAAATTGTTCCAGCATCGCATACTGACGCGCACGGTGCCCTGCTTCGTTACCGCTCACGATTATTGCGTGATGGGTGGGGGGGGGGGCACTGGGACGGCTCATATGGCGCATACCGAGCCGCTGCACACTCGCGACGATATTAATATTTTGCGACGCGGTGTTATATTAATACAGAGCACGTATGGAGCGCCGTATGTCCGGGCCTACGGTGCTCCTCGGAAGGATATCGTAAATCGTGGACAACTTTCTCTCCCTGTTATGACCAATCCCTCCCCCTCGGAAAGGGCACCCCCGAACTTGCCCTGTCGCGCCGAGACACGCGACGAAGAAATAAGCGAAGGAATCTCGAGACGGTCGTGGTTTGAAATTCGTAGCGATGGAGAACGATTATGGCTCGGTTTGTCGGCAGATATTAGGTTGCTGGGAACGAAATTCATGCGACGCGTTTTGCAGCTTAGGTGTATACAAATAGCGTGATCAGGTCGAAGTTGGGCGTTATTCGTATGCAATTGTATTCGAACAACATTTCGAATGAAATTTGATTCGACTAATCTTCCGAATCAATTCTTCGAATTCAGTTTTATTGAAATAATGATTCGAAGAAATACGATGAAATTTTGATCAGAATAATGTTTCGAAGAAATTGTTCGGATATAATATTATCCGAACAGCATTTCGAATGTAGTCAATTATTGGAATACATTTTTTCGGATCATTTTTCGAACGTGTTGACTCGATGAATTTTTATTGAAATACATTTTTATTCGAATAAATTTGCGAATAAGAGAATTCACATCAATCTCATATTTGTAATTTATCATTTATTAATATTTGTAATTTTCAATTAATTAATATTAGAATTTGTCATTTATTAATATTTCATAGTCATTTATTGGTATTAAAATTTGTCATTTATTAATATCTGTAATTTCTAATTTGTGAATGTCGTTTCTCGATGTTTCTTTCAGAATGATCCATAATTTTCTACTATACATATTTGCATAATCCAGTGACTTTCGGTGCAAGAATGACAACTATAGTGGCGTATCGTTCAAAAAGACGACATAAATGGAAGCCACTACAGTGGCGTATTTTATAATCGATTCGAAGTAACCTCTTAAAGTCCAATCAGTCTTCTCCGAGCTATCAATCGCGATTTATCAATCTTTCGACATAATTCCGAATTTCCCTTCAAACTTTAATGGATCGATCATAAATTGCGATTCTTCAGCTTTCCTTCGAACCCTCGAAAGATCAAGAGCTATACTACGGAAAAATATTGACAAATTAATTCCCAACAATCTCTTATAAAGTAATCGTTATATCTCCATGTGGTCTTCAGTCTTTCTTGAAACTTTAACACTACTACGCCAGTCGTATATGTATAATTAATAATATTCTTTTACGAAACTTGAAAATCTACTTTTAATCAGATCTATCGGGTAAAATGTAAATCAAGCTTCCTTAAAGCCTACGAAGTATAAAAAGGTTACAAAAGTTGATGCTTTAACAAGTTTTGTCTTTTCTATTCGAACATTGACGATTAAATTTTATTTGTTTTATGGACACCGATGTGACAGTTACTATGTGAAAAACAGAACATTTCTATAGTTGATAATCTTTAAAATTTTGTTTCAGTTCGACAAAATTTTCCATTCTTCAATCATTATTGTGCATACGTTGTTTCGATTATGTATTGAGGTCTTTGTTCGTTGTTGTCAATTATATCGAGTTGTCTATTGTATTCGTATATTTCTAAATAAATTGCTCGGATTTTGTATAACTTTCATAGATACTGGTGTGACAGTCAACGTGTTAATAGACTTATCTTCAAGCAGACTGATCTTCCACATTTCATATATACGCCCTAAAAATTGAAGTTACGAAACACATAAGCATATACAATTGTTAACGTTTTATTACTTCCTAATCTTTTGCTTTTATAATAACATCATTTACTTGTTTGAAATACTATTTTGCATTCGCATTGTACGTATCAACCAAAAACGGAGCAAACTTTTGAATCACCCACGAGAAAAACGAAATATTAGCTAGCTCGTTCAGTTTCTACTCTTTGATTGGCGATAGTCTAGCATCTTTGCGAAGTGTATATAATATTTTGGACTTCACAAAAGATTTTATTATTAAATTTTGCATTGTATTTATTTCTGAACGACCTATCTTAATATGTTCACTACCCTACAGATTCGTGTTCTTTTCTCGTACAAACTCAAATTAGGTCGTAATGCGCTCAAAAATTGATATCGTTTTCAGAAATTTTGTTTCTGTGATCTATTTGGGTCTTGCCTGACAAAATATCGGATCATTGGAATGGAAAAAAAATGGTTTCCTTTTGTTCAAACGAACGATTCGACGACTAAAATATAGATAGTCGCTTGAACAATTAATTCGTAACTGTTAAGAAACCGAACGTATCATTTCACACGGGCTAATATTCATTTCCACCGTGTTATTGGAAAATAGTACACGAGAATATATGTTCTCGCTTGGAGATTACACAGTCCGATGGTAACGAGATTCTAAAATGAGCGTTTATAATGCCAAGTCGGGCGTATAAACTTTTTACAACATCTGAAAATAGACGACACTCGTTCCGGAAGTATGGTCGCGCGAGTAAAAAGACAATGCGGCCGCCGGTAAAGTGTCGTGAATATTGGCATGAAACATCGATGCAAAGGCGCCTAACGCCGCATAGTACATACTACCTACGCTGTATGTATATCTCGTGCAACATAACGTGTGTCAGTTGTTAACTGTCGGCCATGCGATGAAAACTGTCAGGAACGGTGATGATTTACCGCGGCGCTTGATGTCGACGCGCATGGAAACAAATGGACTGATTCTACAAAGAGATTTCACGTGCGAGGTGTGATTATCGAAAGTGCTTAAAAATTTATCCGGTTCATCGAGCACCATCATTAGCGATTTCCCTCGGGGCTTTGCCTTCCACGCTTCTGTTAATTAAACTGTTTTACCCACCGATTTAAACACGACGGCCGACCGGCGTTCCCTCTACACAAATTTTCGGCTCGCGATGTAATTTTGTGAAACACGTACCCCGAAGAATCGAAATAATTGCTTGTCTCTCTAATGGTTCATGCTGGTCGATTTCTATGTACATCGCGAAATATCGCGGATCCACGTGTACACGGAAGTTTTCACATATTTTGGACCAAGTTGCGAAAACCGTTGAAACGGCGTTGTTCAAACTTTCGAAATTTGCTCAAATCTAAATGGCATGGACAATTCGTTTTTGTAATAAATGTTTCGAATTTCCATCGTACAGTGAAAAAAAAATGTGCTATTGGATATATTAATTTTTGTGTTGCATTTAAGATAAAAGTGATTTTAATTCGCAATTATAGTGGAATGGAACTGTTGGTCCATAAAAGGAAATCATTTCAATAATTACATGATCTGTCTTTTATTACAACGAAAATTATAATGAAATTATATTTGAAGAAAAATACATAATTTAACTTTGGCCAGATATTTCAGGATTTATCTAATTGAATTAATCGAATTGTTCGAAATATGAGCAAGATATTTCAGCACAAAGATATTTCGTTCGCCACTAAAATAGAAAATAAAAATGATACTTTGCACTGTGTCTAATTATTTTAGAAGCTAAATATATACATGAATTTTAGGAACGAGATCAGTAATCTCCGTTACAATGGCAAACAGGAAGTTTTGCGTGCGAAAAGACGAATTAAGGGATGACGAGGAATGGCTAGCTTTCTCCCTGGAGATCTTCTCGAGAGCATTTCATTTATTGAAAAATTTCACGGAGTTCTTGAAGTTCGTTTCACTTGTAATTAATTAATAAGTTTGTACAAAATATAGTATTGCACTGCACGATTTTCACTTCGATTATAATTAAATATTCAATTATATATATATATGGACAATTTTATATATATATATATATATATATATATATATATATATNTGGTTCATGCTGGTCGATTTCTATGTACATCGCGAAATATCGCGGATCCACGTGTACACGGAAGTTTTCACATATTTTGGACCAAGTTGCGAAAACCGTTGAAACGGCGTTGTTCAAACTTTCGAAATTTGCTCAAATCTAAATGGCATGGACAATTCGTTTTTGTAATAAATGTTTCGAATTTCCATCGTACAGTGAAAAAAAAATGTGCTATTGGATATATTAATTTTTGTGTTGCATTTAAGATAAAAGTGATTTTAATTCGCAATTATAGTGGAATGGAACTGTTGGTCCATAAAAGGAAATCATTTCAATAATTACATGATCTGTCTTTTATTACAACGAAAATTATAATGAAATTATATTTGAAGAAAAATACATAATTTAACTTTGGCCAGATATTTCAGGATTTATCTAATTGAATTAATCGAATTGTTCGAAATATGAGCAAGATATTTCAGCACAAAGATATTTCGTTCGCCACTAAAATAGAAAATAAAAATGATACTTTGCACTGTGTCTAATTATTTTAGAAGCTAAATATATACATGAATTTTAGGAACGAGATCAGTAATCTCCGTTACAATGGCAAACAGGAAGTTTTGCGTGCGAAAAGACGAATTAAGGGATGACGAGGAATGGCTAGCTTTCTCCCTGGAGATCTTCTCGAGAGCATTTCATTTATTGAAAAATTTCACGGAGTTCTTGAAGTTCGTTTCACTTGTAATTAATTAATAAGTTTGTACAAAATATAGTATTGCACTGCACGATTTTCACTTCGATTATAATTAAATATTCAATTATATATATATATGGACAATTTTATATATATATATATATATATATATATATATATATATATAAATAATTAAAATTGTATGTAGTAGTATTTTTTAGTACTGCGACAAGAATGACAGTTATTTTTCTCGTACTATTTATTTTGCACGATGAAAATAGGTCGCGTATGGGCAACTGCTGCGGTATAGATCATGATAGGATGCATCTGTTCGGAGCATTGAGCGTGGTAGCTGGGACAATGAAATACAAACGACCTGATTTATTTCGCGACATCTGCGGTTGTATACGACAAGATGAACAAAAAGTCATACCCGATTACATAATTCAAAACGTAAGATTTGTCACACACGTAGGTGCAAAATACATGCTTATAGACGGATTAAACAAACTTTTAATCAAATGAATTTTAATTCCGATTTACAGGATATTAATTCTGATTGATTTAAGTTTAGCAGTCCAGGATTAAAGAGATAAAAAAAATATTAATGTCACTTTGCCACTAATCGTTCGATCTACATGGTGTCCCATAATTATTTCAACGGAAAGGGGTGATTCTTGAGGTCATTTGAGGTAACTTTTTCTTTAGCGAAAGTGCAATCAGCGGCTTCGTTTAGGAGTTATTAACGAAAAACGGGGACCAATGAGAGGCGAGTTCGGCTAGTGCAAGACAGCCGAGCCAACTAGCAGACGAAGCACAGTTTCGCGCATTGGCACGGCCGCCTCGCGCCAGCTGATCTCGTCTCTCATTGGTCACTGCTTTTCGTTAATAACTCGTAAACAAATTAGATCGAAGATTAAGGAAAAAATTACTTTTAATGATCTCAGGAACCCCTCATTTCCCTAAAGTACTATAATTTTGGGACGCCCTGTATATTAGGTCGAGTCATAAATAACTTCGGATGCAGCTAAGTAGAATCTATTGTTCGTATCTACTCACTATGGGTGACCAGAACAAACGAGTTTTTGCTTTCACTAAATAGATAAGGGTTCGAAATAAAATAAATAAAAAAGATATAAAACAAATTTCTGATAAAAACAGAAGTTATTTATAGATTCGACTTAATAATTTACTGAGACTTTTTTAATAATATTTTGTGCTCTATGATTGAAGTACGACTAAGTTTCAATTCAACAGATGTGAAACACATGTAGAGTGACTTTAGCTTCATTATCAAGAACGATTAATACCAAAAATAATGTTTAGTAGAAAATGTCTTTTGTGCGGTACAACTGGTTCTTTAAATAGATAAATAAAGTGTTGACCAACCTGCAAAAATGTTGTGTGATCGAAAATATCGTCTGCGACGTGAAAGACATGTTGGAAGTCCTCGAGGAAATTCTGATCTGTTCAACGTCGGTGGAACTAGGGATATTGTCCTATCTTCTCCACGAAATCATGAAAAAACTGATATCTTGTCGTGAAACTTCGCCAGGTAATTGTGACATGACAGCAAATGCCAAACGATATATTCGTTATTTATTTCCAAAAATTGATTGTCTAAACGCTTACTGTGTCATTTCAATAAATATCATTAAATATCATTTCATTAGCATGACGAATATTTCTTCCTCAAAAATGAAAATTAAAGTGTTACCCACAATTTTATATCTTTTAGTGCAGCAACATTTTTGAGTAAAATTTGAGAAGTGGTAGATTTCGTTACAGCAGATAACGATATTTATGCTGACTTTATTATTTTTATTATAGATCAACTCACCCACGCTGACGTAAACAGGGTACTACGTCTTGTAAATAATTTCATTCGAGATTGGAGCATGAGAAACTCGCTTTGCAGATTTTGCGGCCGTGCTGCTAGTAAAGTAGCTCAGCAATGGGTTAGCAACGTCTACAATAATTTAGCAAATTATCGAACATCTAATCAAAGTAGCGTAACAGAACCTTTTCTTCGAAGTGGATTTTTAAAACCGATTTTTGCAGGGTACATACTGTTGCAGAAGTCATGAATTATATTACGATGTTTGCGAAGAATGGTGGCAACAGCAAACGATATCTGTGAGTCTTTTAAAACTAAGTCACTCGAGCGTTACCAATTTAAAACTTACATTACCATGATACGAACGTGAACATAAATATTTTTTTATTCTATCAGCACATTCCATAATTTTCTAACATTTCCTTTTTCAAATGCTAAAAATTATACATTCAATTTAAATATATAATAATATGAATGTAAACCAATATATGTAACATCGTTTACAAGATATTGTATGCACACTATTATTAGAAATATCTTTTATTTATTTTAGAGGATTTTATAGAGAATAATTCTGCAGCTTTTTAATTGATAAGTCAGTTAATGTCATTCGTAAGAATACTCAGTAAAATTTGTCATAACCATATACATATATATATATATATATTAATATAATATAATAATAAATATAATTATAAATATAAGTAATAATAAATAATTAATTCATATAATATTAATATAATATAATTAATATAAAAATTTAAACTTTGATAATATAAAAATGATTTTAGGACGTGAATTAACAATTTTTTAGTGGTGTCTCAGAGTCGCCACTCGAGTGCAAAGGGTTAAGTGGACGACTGTCCGCGCTGATGTTTAGCATGAATCAAATTTTTCTTTAGGAAGTACAGTAAATTCTTACTAATTTTCCTTCAATTTCAATTATAATTTCGAAAGAGGAGATACGATTATTCGAGTCTTGCACCTCGTTTTTATAATTGTTGACAATCGGGAACTATAAAAATATATATATTATATTTATTATTATATTGTATTAATATATATTATATTAATATTAAATGATTATATTATAAAAGTTTAACTGTTGTACGAGTCGTCGCGAGACCCGATTTCGTATGCGCAAAATGCACTTCGTCATATAAAATGGAATTACTATAAATCCGAAGAATTATTGTAGATATACGGTTAAAATGGCTCCGAGCGCAAAGGGTTAAATCATCGTTCAGTTCATCATCGCCGAATTCCGAGAAACATACTAATTATGTTTCGTTCCCGAAACCTCTGCGAGCGACAGAACGACTGGAAAACAGATCGCAGCGACAATCGAATGAAGCAGTCGAAGAGCGACGACGATTACACGGGGTTCTTTTCCGGTGGGCCCGGAGACAGACGAGTTGCGGGTGATGAATCCAACGTCGAAGACACGAGGTGGTGGACTGCATGTGTCCCGCGGAAGCCCGGAGTCATCGATCGAGCCATAAAACGCTGGGACAACGATGGGCCAATCGCTGCGTTTCGAAGAGTGGCCGGATCGTCGTCGAGGAAAACAGAGGCGGGAGATTGCGGGGCAGCTGGACGAGGGCCGGATAAATTCGAGGAAATCGAGGACGGGGATTTAAGAACGGCATCGTGCCGTACGATCGAAGGTGGCCGCGTTCCAGCGAGGCGTCGCAGACGAGAGAAACGTGACGGTGCTCTTTGCGAAGAGCGCGCCGGGTTACGAGGAGCCCTGGACGCGGACTTAGAAGGAACGGCTGTTGGAAAAATGAGCGAAATTAAAAGCGACAAGATTTCCGCTCGCGACCGTAGAAGAGGCAGGCTGTTCAAGAGAGACGGCGAGGTAAATGGGACCGACCAATCACCCGGGAAGAAGGCTGGGGATCCATCAAGGTTGGGGCACGAGCGAGGCTATCCGAAAGCTGATTCCCCGAAAGACATCCGATCGGGAACGATGAAGCCAAAAGCGGGAGATTATGAGGATGGTCAATCGGATCGAGATCGAAAGACGCCGATAGGTAAGAAGTCGAAAGCGAAGAAGCTCGGGTTAGGGGACGATGAGGAGTACGAAGAGCCTCCGCGGAGCAAGAAGAAATCGAAGAGAGCCCAAAGTTTGGAACCAATTGACGAGGAATATGGTAAAAGAGCTGGTTCTAGAAAGCGATTATCGGGAAGGACGAGAGGAAAAGAAGATACGGATGATGAAGAGAGGACCGATCGACGCGGCACGAACAAGGTTGGAATAAAGAAGAACCACGAATTCGAAGGGAGGTTGGGTGTTGGCGAGGACATAAGCGCTCGGGAACAAACGAAGAAAAAAAAGGGTGCACTTGACAGCACGGAGGGGGAAGAAAGTGTTCGTAAACGTGATGGAAAACGGAGAGGTCGATCGAGCGACGACGAAGCCGATTCGGACGTAATGAAGAGGGGCAAGGCTGGTAGGTGCGATTTGTAAGAATTTGATAGTGTCAGCGGGTGGTGCTGGGGAACTCGAATGTCCCTACGACGACTTTTAACGACAAATGGTCCAGGTATCAATAAATAATTTATCGTCTTTTCACGTGGAAGGGTAGTATGATTTGAATTTCGCGCCTCTTTTTACCGATTTACTAAATTCAAAATGACGCGTGGCGATGTCGGATGTTGTATATTTTTAAACTATCTTTTTCGTATCATTCAATGAGCGGGAAAATAAGACCAGTTTACTGAGAAGTTTAAATGATTTTTGGTAATATCGTTTTTGGCAGTTTTTGGTTCTTTAGTCAAGATAAAATGCTTTTCGTGTTTTTGGAAACAAGATAATTAGTAAATGTGTATAAATTAAAATTTAAGGATATGTTTGGTCAACTTTTACCACAATCATTACGATAATATGATGCGATGGTAATACAATAATATAATAATACGTAATATAGTATTATAATAATAATGTAATATTAATTCAATAACACGTAATATAATATAATAGGCTAATAGGGGCTAATTCAAGCCGATGGAGACTACCTTTCGGAATCTGTAAACTTGTGGTAAAGGGTATTTATTTTTATTTAAATTATTATCATTAACTATACAGACGATTATGCGAGAACATTACGTATAGAAAAGTCGATGCCGGATAATAAAAGCAAGGTCTCCACAATTTTTATACTGAAATCTATCATTTTTATTTTTATTTATCATTATATATATATATATATTGTCTGTATAATTATATATATATAATTAATACATATTAGAATTATAATATAATAATTATACATATATTGAATTTTGTATAGCAAATATATATATATAATGATTAATCTTAACGTGAAAAGAAAATTTCATCAACCCTCGAATAAAGAGTATCTTATGGATCAACATTTATTTATTTATTTATTTATTAAAAGAATAAAAGATTCGTATTTTCCAGACAAGATGGTTGTTAAACATGTACAAATCAAAAATTAAGAGAATATATTTTGAACTTAGTTTAGCCACGATGAACCTACTAACCGTCAAATGAGATTATTCCCTCGAAAATGTAATTTCCATAATAATCCACAGTCTACTAATTATACGAAATAGCGTAACACACACCATCTACAAAACCAATGATGGTTTGTCACGAACCCAACGGCACGTAATAACTCGTCCGCAGTCTGTTCGTAAAACAGGCGTCGAAAGAACCGAGAATTAATGTAATACAGAATTTGTTCGCGGTGATAGGAAATTATGTGCACGATGCGCAGAGTAATAAGCAGAATGTCGAAATAAAGATTTCTCTCCTGTGCAAAGGGAAAATACGTGGCGCCAGAACAGGAGATAAATCAACGGCCGAATCAGAGGGCAAAAGTAAGAAAGAGACGAGGGAAGCCGGTACTGAGGGACGTACTAAAGGTGGTCCGAGCAAAGCGGACGGCGATTACAGCAAGATAAATGGATCGCGTTACTACCGCGATACGACAAAAGCCCCGGATCTTTACAGAACAGGTAGACGAGAATATTTCGAATCCTCGAAACCGGAAACAAATCCATACCTTCGATTTTTTACACGCGTCTCAGACAGTTAACTTCCGATATATGGAAACATCGATGTAAACATACGAACAGCGGATTCTTTTTGACATGTGGTCGAATATGATTAGGATCGTTTTTGATTTTATTTAACAATTCTTTTTAACATGATTTTTGAGACACTCTTCTTATTTCTTACATTAGCTTTTCTCTAAAACTTTATGAAAAATATAAAGATTTTAGTTAATCGTCGTAACAGATATTTAAATAGCGATTTTTATGCTGTTGGCTAAAGTTCATCTGGGTCCCGTTGTCAGAGCGCTAATAATGCTTTATGCAATGTTTGTCTAATGTGTGAAAAAGTAAATTTGAAGTGTAGTGTATAAGAGGATAAGATCTGACATAAAAATACTCAACGTACGTGGCAATAAGATCGAATATTAATTCTTGGACATGAAAATGCGTAACACCTGCTTCGTTTTATTAAACTTATAAGTTACATACGCGATTTAGAAGCGTTGTTCTTTCTGAAATTTTTCTGAATTGCCGCACGTGATCTTATGAACTTGAATGGTGAAATAGAACAAAATGGAATTTTCTAATCGAGGTAATTGATACCATTTGCTCCTTCATAATGCTTATTCATTTGATACAGAGGTTCAATCAGTTACTATTTCTTTAAGCTTCAGTTGAAGATATTCATAAATATTTTGTTAATAGAAGTTGCCAGAAATGTCAAGCCCTTATAATTAGTTTTCAATATTTGATTTTACTCTAAACTAGAAAATAATTGATTCCTATATGCGATAAACACACAATTTCTCATATTCCAGTACATAAAATCAGGACTGCATTAAAAGTTTCATATTCTATTGTTGAGTTCATCAACAATGCGGAAACGAATCTATACAATTTTTAGACCGATTAGTAACAATGATCGCAGATGCTCTTTATAACAAAAACAGTTTTAATCTCGAAATAATACATCTTTTAATCACGCACCATATTTATTTCGATCTAACGAATATTAGATCTAAAAAGCCGCTCTCTAAATCTAACATGTTATCCATTCATTGTGATATCCATTTTGTATCCATGCATTTTTCCATAGTCGCACTATATTATTTAGCAATGTCGTAATGAAAAGAAACCGTAGAAATTCAGAGAACTTTAACATTCTAATATCGATTCTTATTTTGAAATCTATTTCGCTACAGTCTGTTTTTCATTGCCATACGCGAACAAAAAGGACAAGAAACGGTCAGACAAGTCTCGTTCGCGAAAGTACCAATTACGTCGATAACTAACATGGCATCATTATCGAGTCTCCTGATTCCACAGAGACTGACTGAAACTCGATATCAGATCATCATTAATCGGGAACACTTGAGGCTCGGGAATGTTTGGTCATCATTATCGGATCGCATCCAAATAATGCGGTCTACGCGTGTATGCCAAGTTAGACGTCCTCGTGAAATTCCTTCGTTACAGAAGGCAGCCGCTTGATCGAGTACCAATTATCCAACCAGAGCTTTGTGAAGCGCGGCTGGACCACGATGCCGATCCCTAAAACCATGAGGAAAGTTTCCTACTATCAGGCGAAATCGGCGAAACCACGCATGAATTGGTACATTGAGTCTTCGCATGCTACGTATAGTTATAGTTATATTTCTAATAGATGAGAAATGAAGCTAATCATTCTTCATCAGTTGAAAGATTGTTAAAGTTTAACGCAAATGACCATAAAGAAAGATCACTGCTCAAATTTCAGTCTTTAATCCACTTAAGTGTTTCGCTTACGGAAATATAACGTAGACTCTTTGCAAAGATATTTTATCTTATTTTTGTGAAATACGAATTTTTCATTTAACAAAAAAATTCAATGAAAAGTAAACGGTATTTACCATTTATGACCAAAAATTTACCATTTACAACAACATTCAATGAACAGGAAACGATATTAATATAACTGGAGAGGAAGTTCAAGATAAAAAATTCGAACGACTTAAAAAAACAATGGACTGTGCAATCAAATTTGTTGTAACTGAAATTATTTGATTTTTTAGTATAGGAACATACCTATGATGCAGATTGCACAAAAATTTTGTCTTATTTTTGTGAAATTTAGATTTTGCCATTGACAAAAACATTCAATAAAAAGAAAACACTATTAGTGCAACCACGTAGGAAGATTTTTTAAGATATATTATTCAAATGACTTAAAAGACGATAATGTACCATGCAATCAAACTTCTTATAACCGAATTTATTTAAATTTCTGGTCTGGACAGACATCTTAAAAAAATGTTCGCTTTTTTTATAGGTCATTATATAATTTATTATCAATTTTGAAACATTAAGCAATAACCAAAAGATAAGGAAAGTTTGCATGTTACGAGGAAATGTTTATTTTTATTTGCATGTTACTGTATGAACGATAAGCAAAGTGGATTAGTTGTACATAAATCCTTTACGTGTTCGAAATTGCGAAGCTGGGCGCCTTAATTGAATTAGGTATGGCGCATCGACTATAAAATTGGATCATGTAAAGTAGCTCGTTATATTTCATGCATCAATGAATCGTCGATCCGATACTACCATAGGGTTCTCGTAATGGTAACAGTATAAACGCTCATCGCTTTTCTCGGCAAATATTTCGTGACTATCAAAAGTAATAATCACGTTCATTTGCAACACGTCTGAATGAATAATTCAGATAATATTTACTTCTTTTTATGTGATAATAAACAGGTAAAATATTTTTTTATCGAAATTAGTAGTGGTACCACATTTACGAACCCATATTCTGAAACTATATTTAACATTTTTATTTAGAACCTTTTATTTAATGTTTCTGGCCGCGAAATTTTGTACTACTTTCGTACTCTCGCGTTCACAAATGTTTTTATATTTGTAGATACCATCAGATTTAAAGATATTTTATATTTTCAAATACTTTTATATTCACAAATATTTTCACATTCTCAAGTTTTTCCATGTTATAAAATATTTTCTTATCTCAGATATTCTTATATTCAGAAATATTTTCTTATCTCAAATATTTTTATATTCAGAAATATTTTTATATTCTTATATATTTTCATATTCTTAAATTTTTTCATATTCATAAATATTTTCATATTCTTAAATGTTTTTATATTCATAAATATTTGCATATTCTCAAATATTTTCATACTCTCAAATATTTTTATATTCACAATTGTTTTAATATATTTTCATCTTCTCAAATATTTTCACATTTTCACAATGAAGTTCAACAAATTATAATCCCCTTTTAATTCATCTAAACTGTTAGATTCGTTAACACCTTTTAATTAGTTTTAGCTAACTTTTTTATATATTTCGATGTACCTTCATGTTACTGTCACAGATATCTAAAGACATCGCATCACATGAATTATTACTACGTATCGATATTACAGAATTCCTTTATAGCGACATGTTATTAAATTAAATTCGCGCCATAAAATATTCGTTAGCTGGTATGGTAGGTAACGGAAAGGCAAACTTCGAGATTAGTTGCTAACAAGCTAACGATTAAGTCGAAGCGTAAAGCTAACAAGACACTATTGTAGACGGTGTCGTGTTCTAGTCCGCCCCGGAAACTAACTTATATAATTTATTACGCTGAAACATTAATCTCTTTGAACGACCAGGTTCGAAAGGCACAAGCACCAGGGAAAAATATATTACAACGATGGCGTCAGTATTTTCGTGAATTTTCATCCCGATGGGACGGTGGACGTTTTCTATCCGAACGGGAAATTGGCCATTGCGTTTCGCAAATCATCAAACCGAAAATGTAATCATAAATTCAGAATATCAATTTAATGTAAATGCTATCGATGCTCTGTTTCACACGCTATGACAGAACAACCGCAGACAGTGGCTATTGCTTTTACAACCGATAATAACGATTTAATTTGAAATCAACAAAATTTGTGGTTGATGAAATTGTTAAGGTATTTAGTCGATCAATGTCACTGTGATTAATATTTCTCTTATAAAATTTTCATTTTATATAAATCCAAAGTAAAACTGCTTTCATGCAGATATGGTATT